ATTGAGCTTGGCCCATGACTGCGAACATCGCCGCCTCCTGCTGGGACGTTGTCCTGCCACAGATCTATCGTGCCACTCAGTCCCTCGAACCGGGAAGAAGAGATAAGAAAAGCAAAGAGCAAGAAGAGCAAAAGCATTGACGCGGCGCAAAGCGAAACGCGCTAAGAGCTGCCCGCCTCAGTTTGGCGCCCGAGGCAAGGGCCAGTGCGGCCAGGAAGGCCTCAAGTTGAGCGCTCGCCGTGCCACATTTCACTGGCCCTCGCCTTCATGCCCTCACCACGAGGCCTGGCATTTTCCACACGCAAGCGCAACCAGATGCAAACAGCTATCCATTTGAGCTGCGAGTCTGGGCGTGTGGCTCAAGAGCTTCGTTGTGAGACTTTGGGTGCCCGGGGCGAGCAAAAAGCGCAAGCCCACTTTGAGCTGAGCCAGAAAGCCACAAAAGCCACACATGAGCAGTCCATGCTGGCTTATTGGCAACGTGCCCGCCTCACAAAAACCGGCCACTGAACTCAGATTCTGAAAGAGGCTCCTTTTCAACTTGCCAAGCCTATTCGACGTGCTATGCCCTCACAGTCTTCACGGTCACATCCAACACAACTCCGTCTGGCAACTTGTTGCCCGAGAGCGTTCGGATAGCCAGCTCTGCGTCTTCCGTCTGCCCAAACTTCAGCAGCGCCGCTCCCGTGCAAAGGCCGGTGATGGAGTCTCTCAGCAACCGCACACTCTGTATAGCACCGAAGGGCGAGAAAATGGAATATAGGTAAAGCCTGCACGAGAGTATTGCAGCGTGAAACCGCTGAACACCGATTCTTTCAAGGCCAAGCTATGGCAAACCAAGCGGCTCGTCAGCATTGGACGGAAGTCCCTTGATGTACAAATTGGTCGGGTCCATCGTATGCGGTAGCACGGGCCTGAAGCCCTTTACCCGAGACACCTAGGGTGGCATAAGCGACAAAAAGAAACATGGAGCCCGTGCAGCACGAGAAGTATCTGCAGAGACGTTTTGCTGCCGAGGTACCGTCTCGCTAATCGCTACCATGAACTCCGAGCCTGACAAAGAAAAACAAAACCGCAACACACCCGTGCTGACTTTCCCCGTCTGAATTTGTTGTCAGGCACCCCCACAACAGGCCAGAGTTGCTGGTCGGCAACTAGCTGTTAGCTTCGGGCGTCATTCCATCTCTCAATCTCCCATGCCACCGTGCCCGGAGACCCGGTCTTACATGCCGGAGTCCGATGCTTTTGCTTTGCCATCTCGCGACGCAAGAGTCCAGTGGCCCAGTGGCTCGGGTGAAGGCATGAGATGCTCTTCGTGAAGAAATTCGCAAGGTGGCACAAGCACAAGCCCACAAAGGTACATCCCCTTCCGTGGTTTTTCTTCAACACGCAAGCTGCATCAACTGCGCAGTGATCATGGTGCTTCTTCCGAGCAGAAAGGGGGAATTGCTAATTACGGCCTTGCAGTGCATGCTGTGAAAGGGCGTCCCCTTTCGGTGACAAGTGCTGTCGACAGCGCGAACTACGATGCTTTGATGAGCGTAATTGCTTGCCATGCCCTTTCTGTGCCCTTTCTGTTGACGGGGCGAATTACACTTGTGATGCATCGTTGATGATGCTGTACGCTTTGGATATCAAATGGCTGAGTTCCGCCTGATCATCTGCGTATGCTTCTACAATCGTTGCGCCCGTGGTAAGTCGTCTAGGTCTATTACTGCGTATCAGTGAATCAGTGTGACCTTTTCGAGCACAACTGGTAGGGTCTGACCAGCTACGCTAGGAAAATGTGAGAAAGGAGTTTCCCACATCTTCCGCATGATCGCAAAGTCCACAACATGTATGTTGTTCTGGTTTCTGAGAATATTGTTTGTTCTACGCTCGTCACTCGAGCCTATATAATGAGAGGCTTGATTTAACTAGATTGTCTAGTCCATAAAGAAGTTTCCTACCTGATGGCAGTTCTTTCCTTGTTCCAAACGACGGCAGTTTCCGTCGATTGCAAATTTCTATTCATGCTTTCTCTTTTCTTGTCAGCAGTATCTGTGAGCAAGATACCTAGGTAGTTGTACCATAGAACCGCAACAATTTTCATTTGGGATTGTCTTCGCTTGATAGTTAGATTCACGCACTCAGATTTGATTTCCTGCTGTGATACACTTGGTTCAATCTGGTGCAAGAGTGGATTGTCAACGTGTCGCTGGCATACAATATTTTGCTGTACTCTGCACCCCTCATGCGTTCCCGTTGCCGGAGCGTCTCCAGCTTGTCCTTACTATCTCTGATGGCAGACACGAGTGGCACAAATAGATGCGGCGGAAGCAGGCAGCCCGGCATGCCTAAATTGTGAGGTTCCCTGTCTCCGGCAGTAACTCCAAACCCTTTTGGTGTAAATATGCTGTATGCACAATATGCGCATGCTTCGCGGTGCGCCAAGTCGCCTTACGCAAAGAAGTTTCGTCATATCATGATCGTTCTGAGGCCTGAATCCATGCTGGCTCTCTTTCACCTATGTGGCTTAAGTTTGGATCATCTGCCCGAATCTTGGAAAATGTTTGGAGCAGCGGCTCTCGGCATTTTAGTACGCTTGCAAGCGTTAAGCTGTCTTGGTAGGCGTCATTCTCTCGAATGCTGCTGGGCATTTCAAGATGACCCTCCTGGTTTCACAATTCATCCACTTGAACAGATCTGCTGCACGCTTGTCGAGGCCTCGTGTTTTGGTTGTGTTGCGCGTTGGGAGCGGTGTCAACTCCTCGTGAAGTCTGTGTCCAGCATGGCGTTGCAACCCCAAAGCTTGCTATGTGCCGTCTTGACCACTGGCTTCACCGCTGACCTGAACCGCGCACAACTTTACATATTTTGAAAATCTACTTGGCCGCTTCGGAGCGCCTTATTTTCTTGAGCCAAAACATGTCAGTAGTCTCAACTGTACAACTGTATATGACAACATGCGTATTGGGCTACATATTTCAACACTCCTCCTTGCTGGAGGGTGCTTGATCACCTGCGCAGCAACTATACAGTGCGGTAGTCGGAGCCTGGACCAGGGCCTTGCGAATCTAGAAGGCTCATCTGGCCTTTACTCTTGCTTTGAAGTAACACAAATCCGGAACGGTTCATTGTGTCCTTCATTTGGACTCCGGGTACTGACTTTGTCAGCACATCAGACCTGTTCCGCTTGCCTGGTATGTGTTCTACCTTTAAATGATTCATCGCCACACGTTCCTGTAACCACAGATAACGAGTTTGAATGTGGCGTGCCTTTCCCAGGCCTACTCTATTAACCGTGCCTTTGGCTGCGGTTGCATCAGACTCTACTAGAACCTCTACCTCAACTCCAAAGTCTTGAAGGAGGGATTGAAGTCCTAATCCTACAGAACCGCCTTTCACTAAAGCGTAGTACTCACTCTCTCCAGTGCTCAATGCTATCGTCGACTGGACGTTGCTTGAGGGCTTCAGTGTATGGCTACCATAGAGGGCAACCATGCCTGTAGTGCTTCGCCTAGTGACAGCGTCTCCTGCATCAACCTGTATACGGACCTTCGAGGGTTTGGCTTGTCTCCCAAACACTTGACAAAGATCAGGATACTTCAGCAAATATCTGCACAGTCTCTTCAGGTCTTGCATCGCCGCCTCGGTCGGGGTGACCATCTTCCTTGATTCTTCACAGCGTGCGAAAGATCAGGGCAATCTTGACTGAGGTACGCTGCTCGCATCACACTCGACCTATAAAGTGAAGCTGCTTCTCGTGCCAACGGAGGGCTGTTAGCCTCCAAAAGCTGCTGCTCCACGGACTTCTTGATGTCTGGGGTCTCAGTGCCCTTCGCGTTCACCATTCCCAGATGTCTCACCAAAAGTTCCACATGACGGCGGTCAGGTTCCAAGAAACCGCTGATTGGCCTTCGTGCATGCCAATGCGGATCAGACGATTCAATAAATGTGCTGCGCGATCATCTCCATCCTCGTCTCCCAGCATTCCAAGCCGTTTCAGCTCGTAGGCACTCCTTAAAGTGGAATCCAGCTCATCCAAAGCTTCTTGATCACCAAGTGCAAGAAAGTCGTCTCCATGAACCAACACTCTGCACCCTGTGCTCGGCTTGTAAAAGCAGGAACCATTGCTGCGGCCACGCTGAAACCCATGCTTCAAAAGAAGTTGGGTATAATGGTCTTGCCATATTGCTGGCGCGTCTTGGCAACCATACATGCTCTTCTCCAACAAACCACAGAAGCCTTCTTCTGCGTCTTCTGGTGGAAGTTCAACGTATATGCGTCGCTTCGGTACTCCGTAAAAGTGCGCTCGACTTATGTCCCAGAGACCGAGCTTCAGTCTCCGGCCCTTGGCTGACACCCGGTCTGTTGCCCAGGCACTCAGCAGGTAGCGCATCGCCTCCAACGGTGGCGTTGACGAGAACAGGAGGTTCTGCGGCAACTGTTCCTCCGGCTTCTTAGCTGCCTTAATTTCACGGGCAACTAATCTAGACCGGTAGTTGGGCTTTTCAGGATCTCCTTTGTTCGTGTCTAACCATCTCACCGTGATTGGACGAAGTCCCTCTGCGTAGCACTGTGTTACCGGCACCTTCCGGTAAACTCCTTGCTTCTTGAAGTAGTCCATCTCAAGAGTTCTTGCCTTCTTAACTTCTTCCGCTGGTAGAAGTCCTCCGTTCACATCATCCCAGTACTCTTCAATGTAGTCTGCTGGAACAAAAGGTTCCTCACAGATTGGCCCTGATGTATTCGACTCCATTGAGTTAAGCTCACCCTTCTGTACAAGATAAGCTTTGACTGTCCGAAGGACAGCTTTGACCAGCGCAGGTGGGTACCTGGCGGCCTGTTTGGCAATTCCACCAATAAGGTGTACATGCCTGTGCCAGGGATCTTTCCCTGCCTTGTTGCTGCACTCACCTTCCAAGAGCTCAGCAAGCTCCCGGCTATTAGTGAGCCAACCGGTCTCCTTTCCCACATAGCCTGTGCCTTGAAGACCACGGCGGTCTGTCGCCATCATCTCCCATCGGCACATCGGCCCTCGGACCAAATATGTGTCCCGGCGATCCGTCAGTTCCTTGACTTCAGGATCTTTCCACGAAGTGGCATTCCAGGGCGCCTCGTGCAAGAACAGGCGTCCTGCATTCAGCTGCTTCCTGTAGAAGCTGCATGAGTTGCGCAAATGCTCCAATGCTTTATCCATACGGATCTTACGTTGATCCGGGCTGACCCTGTACTTGTTGATGTTCTGCAAGTGGCTGAATTGATCACACGGCGGACTCCCAGTCAGTAGTACTGGTTCGTCGCGATCAATCAGTTGGTTTACGGCCCCGACGTCTTCTGGCCTGCTAAGGTCCCAGAACGAACCGTCGGGTTTAGCCTCCTCAAGGTCGATTGCGAAACCAGGCTTTAAACCAAACCTGCTCGCCTCCTTAGAGAATCGTGC